TATCATGGAGGTGAGCACAAAATGATATGATTTTTTTGTTCTTTCATGCCTGATAACCGATTCCTTCGGCACCTCGTGATCACACAGGCTGATGTGTTCTTCCATGTGGACTTTGTTGCTTCTGAGCTAGATGGCTGCTTGTTTACCTTCAAGCTTTTAAGACCCCAGACGTTATATCCCAAGGGACCCTTTCTCTCCAAGTCTGTGTTACAGGTTTGTTAGGTGGGATCTGCATATGTATGATTATGAACGCTCTTGTTGGGGGGCAGGAGCACACTTGCTTCCTAAGGCAAACAAGATGATCTGTGCCTCATAAAGAGACAGATGCTACTGGTCTTCTGTTCTTTGGAGTGGGAGCAGTCTTTGTTTTGCAAGGGTTGACAAAAATCCCCTCTTCTGTGGGCCCAGTTATAGAGTCAGCAGGTTTGTTGCTCCAAAGGACAAAGATGAGGCCATCCGCTCCCAAATGATTTACAGTCTTGTAAACGTTAGGGATCAACGCTCCTTTTTCCAATAGGATCTCTATGACAGAATTGACTCCCTGGTCGTAGGTTTATTTGTTTTTGTTTTTGTTTTTAATGGGCCTGTGCCAGCCATTGGTGGATCCGTGATAGAATGCTCACTTTCCAGGCAAGATACCCATGTTTAATCCCTGGCTAGTGCAGAAGACGTATAATCACCACCTGTGTGGCTATGATGCGGAACAGGTTTCAGCAGGGCTTGCGGTCAGATGAGGGAGACAATCCTAGAGATCAGCCTCTGCAAGTCAACCCAGGAAAGCCTTATGGATCATGTAATGGTCTAATCCAACCACAACTCATGAGAATGGCACAGCATTTGGTTGTTGTGGGTGCCGTCCTCATGAGTCAGCAGACACCGTGGTAGTTAACGATAGTATGGACTAAGGCAAGGAGATGTCTTTATCCACAGCCAATTTGAAGCTTCAGACCTGAGTAAAAGCAAAAGCCTCGACGGATTCTTATCGTCCCATTGAACCAATCTGCACTTTATGGCCACCCATGACAAAGTAGCCATTCCACCCCCAGGCATATATAAACAAAGGTGCTTATATTTTTAAATGGTGCCTTCAGAACTGATTAAATATTGGAGCATGCGATTGATTTTGTTTCATTTTTTGTTTTCTTAACTCGAATGCAGGAGAAAGCCTGTCATTCCATTACTTGGTCGACACCCCCTCCCAAAAATACAAATAACAACAGAAACACCCCACTCTGATAATATTAACTTCAAGCTGCCAACTTCATTTATTTATTTTTTTTAATTTTTTAAAATCATTTTATTAGGGGCTCATACAACTCTTATCACATTCCATACAGACATCAATTGTGTAAAGCGCATTTGTACATTCATTCCCCTCATCATTCTCAAAACAGTTCCTCTCCACTTAAGCCCCCGGCATTATCAGCAGCATGGTGCTTCCGTGTACACTAGATGTAAGTAAATAAGTCTCAAACTTAATGATTTTTTTTCCTTTCTTTTTTGATTCTTTTTGTTATTTTTTTTAAAACATTTTATTAGGGGCTCATACAACTGTTATAGCAATCCATACACACATCAATTGTGTAAAGCACATTTGTACATCATTCTCAAAACATTTTCTCTCCACTTAAACCCCCACATTAGGTCCTCATTTTTCCCCTCCCTTCCCGCTCCCCCCTCCCTCAGGAGCCCTTGATAGTTTATAAATTGGTATTTTGTCATATCTTGCCCTGTCCGACGTCTCCCTTCACCCACTTTTCGGTTGTCCGTCCCCCAGGGAGGAGGTCACATATAGTTCCTTGAGGGTGCCAACTTTAAAGGAACAGTTATTTTAAGTGAAAACTCTAAGGTACACTGTATATACACTTTTCACACCTGGTATATTTTGTGTAGTGCTACAACCGAAGTCCAATAAACCTAAGAGCAGAGAGAAGTCCTTTATGAGTCCTCAACCCAGATCACACCTTCCTGTGGTTCTTGTCCACCCTCGGACTCATGGAGGCCCTGTGTGCAGAGCAAAACTGCTCCAGAGCGTTTTGAAGACTCTGACCTTTCAGAAGCAGATCACCAGGCCTCTCTTTGGAGGCACCTCTGGGTCATCCACACTGCCAGCCCCCCACAACCAATCACGGGTTCGATAGGCACAATTGTACGGTTGAGATACATAAAGATTATAAGAAAGTCACAAAGATCATGAGGGATAGAGAAGAGATTGAAATCATGGAGTCAGACACATTTCATAGTAGCATGCTCACCTCCTGGAAGGCCATGATCTTACCAGCCAGGTTCGAGCACAGCGTGGGCCAAGGTGAGGCAGGGTAGAGACTCCCAGAGAGAGCCAGCCGGCTGGAGACCCCGTTTGTTGCTAACCAAGGGTTATATCTACTTAGGGGTGCATGATTACAGGTAGCCACATGTCACAAGAAGGAGCAGTACAATAGGCATACAAGCAATAGGAGGGCGATATACAATAGGCATAAGCATGACAGGAAGGGGATGAGCTAGGGGTGTGCACATAGGAAGGGGAGGGACTAGAGGTATACATGTGACAAGATGGGGGAACCCTAGATTCAATATGGCAGCCTAACCTTGGTCACCCTTGGGTGGGCTTGACCTCTCTGGTTTCTCCTACAAGGAAACAGTCAACTATTGTCCTTATCAGAAGGGAGTGGGTCCTACTTGTGGGAATAAACAGTGGTGACTGCTTGCTCTAGATGGCTGATAACCCTTAGGGAGAATGACCCCTGACCTAATTCTGTTGACCTCCAAGTGTATAGTGATTGGCCATGTGTAGCAAGCAGCTAAGTTTGGCATATATTTGGGGAGACACCTTGGGAGAAATCTTTGTTTCCCACACCTTCTCATTAGTTGTCCAGCCTTACCATTTGTACCATCGTGGAACTCTGAAAAAATACTTAAATGGAAGAAAAATGTTATTTCACTCCCATATTCTCCAAACAAAACCAAATGTTTCTAACCCAGAAATGCACTGGTGGTGTGGTGGTTATGCATTGGGCTGCTAACCATAATGTCAGCAGTT